CTATCCCCTCCTTTCTTTCTTTGAGTGTCTCAACCACAAAGTGTCTGTTGGCCACCATGCTGGATGTGGGCAGAACCTCTCTCCCTCATGAGAACTACTGTTCCAACCACTTGCCTTCTGACAGGTAAGCTAACAAACCTGCTGGGCTTGAAGGTAATTGGGAGGCAGTGGGCAGTAGGCAGTATGGCAGGTGAGGTGGCCATGGCACAGAGCTTCTCTGGAAGGGCCCCTTTTTGGCCCAGACGCAGGCTCTCCCTTGGTTGCTTCTGCTACAGCCTTGGACATCCTAGTCTAATTCTAGTCCATCATTAAAAGGAAGGAGCAGCTTCAGGATGGGGCATCTGTCAAGTGGCTCCCTCCAAACAGGCCAGGGCAAAGAGGTGGGTCCTGAGGCCTAGGCAGCCCCCTGGGCCCTTTGAGTCTCTTGAGTTTATTGAAATAGTTTCTTGCTGGTCTCCTGCCCTCTGTCCCTGCCCTGTCCAACCTATTTTCCAAGCCTTTGGCAGGCTTCTTGAAATACACCTAATTATTTTATACCTGGGATCAAAACCTTCTATTCAAAACTAGTACATCTCAAACTTTCCTACTGAAATTCACCAACAGCAGACAAAAGAAATGCCTTCAGTTCCCCCGAGGGACTGTGTAGCCTGAAGCTACTGCCAGCACAACCAAGCTCTCTTTGAAGTCTTCTGTTTTCTCTTAAAAATTCATGAGAATTTTGCATGATATATCTGAATTTCTTTTAATACAAAGATGTTTAAAATTATTCACCTTAAGGAAAATTGATGTTCCTGAAAGAAATACTGTGTTTATCCAGAGGCTCAGCTATCCTCCTTTATACGATAGTATAAAATCCAGACTCCTGACAGGCAGGGCTCTTTACAGTGTGGCCTCACAGAGCTTTCTGACTTGCTCCCCCTGCTCCTCCACCCACTCTCCAGTCGCTGAGCCACCTGGACTCTTGTCATTTCCTTCTATGCCAGGTTATTCCCAGACCCTGTGAACCCCACTCTCTGCCTGCTGACAACCCACCAACCTGAAAGGCCTCATGGGGATTCAAACACCACCTTCCACATTAAACCTCCTCTGATGGCCCCTGACTGATATGAAGTGAGAGGTAGAGAGTGATGTCACGAAAACAGCCTGTACATTGGAATCAGAAGGCTGGCGTTTCAAGCCTGACTCCAACTGTAGATACTGGACAAATGACCTGACTCTCTCAGCTATTATCTGTAAAATGGGGAATAGTTATGCTTCTCTCACAGGCCTGTTATAGAGACTCAGTGAGATTCAAGAGACAGCATAGTGCCCAACACACACTCCCTTCCACTCCTCCAAACTCCTATTGCACTTTACTTATACCAAACATGTAAAGACTGTATGTTTACGTAGTCATTCTCGTTTATAATGACTTATTTCCCCCAAATAGATCAATGGTTCCCAAAGTCCCCCCAAAAGATTCTCATATTACCTGTATGATCTCATGGCTTAAAAGATTTTGGTCATTAAATGACATACATTTATGAAATAGCAGCCTGCTTTTCTAAGTTCTCTATCTTATTAAGCATTTTTGAATATGGAGAGCTGTCCCAGCTTTTCCTCTGCTGCCTAACTTTAGGGACTTAGGAGTTGGGAGCCACCCACAGAGACCATAAACACCTCGAGACTACAGCTCTGTCTTCACACTTCCCATGGCACCTTACTCAGGGCCCTGCATTTAGAACACACCTAGTAACTGCGTGTGGCATAAACAGAAAGTTTCACACAGAGGACAGGAGGGGAAAGCCCTGTCTACATTAGCCAGTTTGTGTGCAGAAAGGGGTCATTGTTACGGGAGGCAGGGCTAGAGGCAAGCCCTGCTCCCCCCACCTGCTGGAGCAGCACCCCCAATTACACCAGCTGGCCTCCAACTTCAGTGTGTGAGAGGATTAAAAAGCACCCTCCCTTCAGTGTCTGGAAACTCCTGTGAGGAAAGTTTGCTGCCCAAAGTTGGCTTTTGACTACAGTCTTAATAAGAGGCCTCAGCAGGCTGTGGCTAGAGAGACAATGTCACTTAGAGGAGCAGCTTGAAGCAGCAGTTAGGAGAAGAATTATTTTAATGAATACATTTCCTTTCAATTGTATGGGAATATCAAGATCCCATTAGAATAGGGAAGCAATTAGAACTAATAGAGATGAATGCACAGTGCTCAGTGCGTATGGAATAACAAGCAGTCAACAAAGGGACTCCGGAGAGCCTGCTCTAATCCCAATGAACTGGCAGCCCACAGAGGAGAAATGGCTCTGTTCAGGGTCTCAAAGACCCTGTCCCATGCATTCTGATCACAGCCAGCAAATGGTGTGAGCTGGGCCTCTGAGGTGGGGGTAGGGAGCCCTTCACCTCGGCCCTGGCCCAGCCTCATGGGTATAGAGATGGGCTGTTGGCAGCCCATTGGCGACAGCCATTCAGACCAAGGCCCTGGCTCCAGGCCAGCCTTGTGCTTGCCCCTCGCACTGGGCCTCATTGTGTCCAGGTGGCAAATACCTTCCCGCCAACTCTCCTTCGAGGTTTAGAGTGGTGGCGGGGGTGGGGGGAGGGGGAAGGACAGTGCAGGAGGGAAAAGGAGGCCTGTGCCCCCTGCATCTTCCCCCCCACTTCCCCCCACCACCACGCTGGCCAGGCTCTGCCTCTCCTCTGCATTGGGTGTTATGTTACAGACACTAGTGAGTCACAGGCAGCCCAAAACTGAAGTACTGCTGCTCACACAATTGCTCTTCAAATAATAACAAACAATTGTCATTATCCAAGTCAGATCAAATCATCTCCCTAGCCACCTTGCCTCAATACCAGCCACACATACAGGACCCATGGCTGCATGCTCCGCCCATTCTGCTGTGACAAAACTGGGCTCCATTTTGCCCCTGGCCCAGAAATTCTGGACAAAGCTCTTCCCCTGAATCCTTCTTTGAGCCAGATTAGCTGCACAGCTGTCAAGACTATCAGGAGAAATAGGAAAGACACAGCAGCTATGCAGTTTGGGGCTACTCAGATCTAGGGTGAGACGATACTCAGCATCTGTGTGAAGAAGGCACTCAAAAGTTTGGAGGACTCTATTGCCAAGTTTAGAAGGAATTCAACAAGATAACTGGCTCCGCACCAAAGCATTCGCTGGCCTTAGATGGAGAGTCAGGACTTGACATTTCTTTATTTAATCTTTTTTGGCCAGACGGTTTTTTCAACCAGGAATGTGTAAGATCATTCCAAAATGTCTGCATAAGAGGCCAGTAACTCTCATTACTGAGATTTTTCTACCACTTCTCTCTAAAAAAAAAAGTCAGTAACATTTTATATTTGTTTCTTAACAGTAGAGCACTTTAAAAGTATGTTTGCATTGTACTTGAACCTCAACATAACTCTGTGGGGATGGGCAAAGCAAGGGTTGTCAGGCCTTAAAGATGAAGAAACAGTGGCCCAGAGAGGTTAGGTCTCCTGCACAAGAGGGCAAGGAGGGATGCCAGAACTCAGGTCTTCTGAGCTAGTTTAGTGCTTTGTTCTAGGATATACCGTTTCTATGTCCTCAGTGCTGGACACTTTCAGGGCAATTCACCCTATAGTTCTGCTTTTTCAGTGCAACTCCCACGGTGGACTTCCAAAGACTCTAATCTATGCTACAAGGATCATCCTTCAACAAGGTTTCAGCCTTGGCTTCGTGGCTCAATTGCTTAGAGTGTCATCTAGCACACCAAAAGGATGTAGGTTGGATTGCTGGTCAGGGCACATATGTAGGTTGCGGGTTTGATCCCCATTTGGGGCGGGTATGGGAGGCAACCAATCAATGCTTCTCTCTCACACTGATGTTTCTCTCAATCTCTCCCTCCCCCTCTAAAATCAGTAAACATATCCTTGGGTAAGGATTTTTTTTTAAAGGTTTCAATATAATAGTCATCAAAGTATTTGTTTCATTGCCCTTCCCCCCAACCCCACCCCCACCAAAGAGATATATATTTCCTCCCTTTTCATAGCTTACGTAAGAACTTCCTGTTTTTTAAACCATGCCTTATTTTTTAATCCTCACCTGAAGATATGTTTTTATTGGTTTTAGAGAGAGAAGAAGGGGAAGAGAGAGAAAGGAACATCGATGTGAGAGAAACATCAATCAGTTGCCTCCCATACATGCTCCAGCCAGGGATTGAACCCACAGCCTTTTAGTGTACGGGATGACTCTTCAACCAGCTTAGCCACCCAGCCAGGGCAGGACGGCTTTCTTAAAAAAGTAAATTTATGGAGGTGACATCGGTTAATAACACATAATCTTCAGGTGAACATTATAATTCAACATCTGTATATTCTACTGAACACTCACCATCTAATGCCTAGTTTCCTTCCCTTACCATATATTTGACTCTCTTTACCCCACCAGGTCTACCTTGTCCAGTACAACACAGGCACAATCAAAACCGGAACAAAGATGGTCTAGATCCCTTCCAGTGTAACACTAGAGCATCCAGATATAGGCAAGTGGTAAAGTAGTCCATTCCCCTGTCATATCCCTTACCCACCACCTATAGCTAAAGGCCTAGTCATTGAATTTTTCACCCCATTTCACCTCCGTGGTGACACTCCTTATGGTGCAGACCATGGTGAGTACCACTGAGCAGCATGTGAACAAGGAACCATGAATTCCGCAGCATGACCTCACAGCCTCATCCTTTACGGCCTGGCCAGCTGACGACGCACCCCTCTCAGCAGAGTCAGGCCCCCTTGGACCTGAGTGAGGGGTGCTGCTGGGAGCCAGCTGAGGCTCCAGTACTTGCTGAGGGAGATGATCTGGAGCAGTTGGCATACTCAGACACACTCCACAGGCAGAAGTCCCCCTGAAGTGGTGCCGGTGGAACCTGACTTCCTAAGATCTGAGTGTCCTTAGCACAGGTCTCCCATCATGGGCATGCTGTAGTAGAGCCAGAAAGACCTGGGCAGGGTAGTGGAAGTGACACAACAGGAGATCCTGTTGCTGAAAAGCATGCATGAAGAGCTCCACGTGAAGAGCCAGCAGATGGATAAGATCATGGACGGGTTTGAGGAGACTGTGCCCCAAGCAATGGAGGAGGCTCGCTCAGAAACAGAAAGAACTTGCCAAAGCCAGAATCCAGAAGGTTATAAAAGAAAAAGAACAACTTACTACAGATCCAAATCCCATGAAAAACATATTTCTCTGGCCCCTACAAGCAGTTTGAGAAGTAGAAGGAGGTCATCAAAGGCAACTGCAAGAACTAAGAGTCACTCAAGAAGTGCACTGAGGATTACATACTAAGAATTAAGAAACAAGGCCAGAGATTTCATCCACTGAAGACCCACACAGAAGAGAAACTCAAGCAGGCAAACAAGGAGGCCGCCCAGGTGTCCAGCAAGGTCCAAGTAGAGGCCTTGGCCTTCCAGGTAAGCCCAAGAAAGGAGCAGGTGTGCATCCACTTGCTGGAGAAAACTATGATCTGACCAGAATCTTTGACCTCATTTCCAAGACAAAGAAGATCTGATGCGGAAGGCCCTGTTCAATGACCATCCTTCCTCCATCTGACTCTGTTAGAAGATTTTATGTTCTTTTGTCTTTCTCTTGACCTCAACTCATTTTAAAACTAGATTGCTTTAAAAAGAAAACTAACTCCCAGTCAAGATGGTGGATAGGTAAACATGGCTTGCCTCCTCAATGACCACATCAAAATTACAACTAAAATATAGAACACCCATCACTCAGAACCATCAGAAACTAAATTGAAGTCTTACAGAATTAAAGAAACCAGATCTATCCAGACAGGTAGGAGGGGCACAGATGAAGAACAGGCTAGTCCCACACCCACCTGTGATGAATAATAATTCAGGAGGGATATTAGAGAGCAAGGAGTCCCAGCCCCACACCAGGCCCCCAAAACTAGGGTTCCAGTGCCAGAACGGATAACCTCTGGCTTCAAAAACCAGCATGGATTAGTCAGTGGGAAAAACTTCTGGAGTCCCAAGCAGTTCCTCTTAAAGAACCCACACACAGATGCACTCCCTCTGAGCTCCAGCACCACAAGAATAGCAGCTGAAAAGGCACCAGTGCCATACACAAAGGAACTGAAGTGTGTGGCACCAAGGCAGAAGCTGGGGGACAGCTTTCTCCTACACAGAAAGGCAGACAGAGGCCATTGTCACTTTTCTGAGCCCTCCCCCCAAAAGAGCCACAGAGCCAGCAGCAAGAGCCATATCTAAGACTCCATCAACCTGGAAAACACTGTTTGTCCTGCCCTGGAGATCCCCAGACTCCATCCCACCCAATTTATGGGCCTGCCCAAACTTCTAACCATGACTTTTCCACATGAATGGCTGGTCTTGGCTCATACTTCATGATTTCCTAAACCCTATCAAACAAGCAACAGCTAAGTGGCTCCAGGCTCTGCACTAGCAGTAGCCAGCCTAAATTCACAGCTTGGCTTCACCTGGAATCTCCAAACCCAGCACAAGTAGCAGACATCTCACATTGCTTTATACCTCAGGCAAGATGGCCCCACACAAAACACAGACGGGGCTCACTTTGGCCTGTACCACATGGGAAACCCTAGGGACAGCACACCCAGTGGAGAGCTATAGACCATGTCAGAGCACCATCACCCTGCCCTTGCAAAGCTGATACTCCCTAGAGGGCAGAGGTTGGTGGTCAGTGAAAACAGTCAGTCCTTGAAGCTGACTGGCCTGAGTAAATCCCCCCCACTGACCTGACAACAGAAATCAAGGCTCAACTACAAGAGGAGGGTGTACTCAGCCCACACGAAGGGCACACCTTGAGTACCCAGCTTGGATGATAGGGGGGTTGTGTCAATGGACCCTACAGGACACCTACTATATTAGGCCACACTACCAAAGCAGGGAGTCATAGCAGCTGTACCTAATACACAGAAACAAACACAGGGAGGTTGTCAAAATGAGGAGACAAAGAAACATGGCCCAAATGAAAGAACAGACCAAAACTCTAGAAAAAGAGCTCAACAAAATGGAGATAAGCAATCTATCAGATGCAGAGTTCAAAACACCAGTTATTAGGATGCTCAGGGAAATTAGTGAGGATCTCAGCAGCATAAAAATACCCAGTCAGAAAGGAAGGATACACTAATTGAAATAAAGAATAATTTACAGAAAAACAGCAGTACAGTGGATAAAGCTGAGAGTCAGCTCAGTGACTTGGTACATAAAGAAGCAAAAACAACCAATCAGAACAACAAGAAGAAAAAAGAATCCAGACAAATGAGCATAGTATAAGGAGCCTCTGGGACAACTTCAAGTGTTCCATCATTCACATTACAGCAAAAGGGAAAGAAGAAGAGCAAGAAATTGGAAATCTATTTGAAAGAATAATGAAAAAACTTCCCTGATTTGGTGAAGGACATAGATATGCAAGTTCAGGAAGCACAGAGAGTCCCAAACAAGATGGTTGCAAAGAGGCCCACTCTAAGACACATCATAATTAAAATGTCAAAGTTTAAAGATTATGAGAGAATCTTCAAAGCAGCAAGAGAAAAGAAGTCAGTTACCTACAGGAGAGTTCCCATAAGACCGTCAGCTGATTTCCCAAAATAAAACTTTGCAGGCTAGAAGGGAATGGCAAGAAATATTCACAGTCATGTAAAGCAAGGGCTATGGCCAAGATTGCTCTACCCACCAAAGCTATCATTTAGATTGAAGGGAAGATAAAGAGCTTCCCAGACAAGATAAAACTAAAGGAGTTCCTCATCACCAAACCATTATTGCATGAAATGTTAAAGGGACTTCTTTAAGAAAAGGAAGATCAAAACATGAACAATAAAATGGCAAAAATATACATATCTATCAACAACTGAATCTAAAAAACAAATAGGCAGCAAGAAAAACAGACAGAATCATAGATACAGAGAGTGTTTTGATGGATGCCTGATGGGAGGAGGCTGTGGGAGAATGGGTGAAGAGATGAGGGGATTAAGAAGTACAAATAGTTTGTTACAGTATAGCCCTAGGGATATAAAGTACAGTATAAGAAATGGACTAGCCAAAGAACTGATACGCATGACCCATGAACATGAACAATGGTGGGGGGATTGCCTGAGAGAATGGGGGTTGCTGAGTGGACGGGGGCAAAGGGGGAAAATTGGGACAATTTTAACACCATAATCAATAAAATGTAGTTAAAAATAAAAAATAAAAAGCCGACTAAACAAAATTTCCCTCATATTTTAAATAGAACACCAGATTGGTGATTGTGACATTGGCTCTGGACATCCGAGGCCCTTCTGATACTGGTAGCCTAAGGTGCTGTTCTGCTCCTTGTTCTGTATTCCTTTAGGCAACGTGAAACTCAGGCCTGGGAAGCCTATTGTGTTTTGTGAATTTCAGTGACAAGCTGAACCTAAAGACCATTGGCCATTCCAATGGTTTTGAAAGTATTATGAGATTTGTAGTTAAAAATATCTGGCTCTGGTTGATGTAGCTCAGCTGGTTGCTTCGGTAGATTGAAAGGTCAAAAGTCTGATTTCTTTTTTTTTAAGATTTTATTTATTTATCTTCAGAGGGGAAGGGAAGGAGAGAGGGAGAGAAATATCAATGTATGGTTGCCTCTCCTGGGTCCCCTGCTGGGAACTGGCCTGCAACCCAGGCATGTGCCCTGATTGGGAATTGAACTGCAATCCTTTGGTTCACAGGCCCGTGCTCAATCCACTGAGCTACATCAGTCAGGGGCAAAAGTCTGATTTCTGGTCAGGGTACATACCAAAGTTGTGGGTTCAACCCTTGTCAGGGCATGTAGGAAGAGGCTGCCAATCAATGTTTCTCTCTCACCTCGATGTCTCTCCCCCTGCCCACCTCTCTTTTTCCCATTCCCTCCCTACCTTCTTCTTTTTCTAAAAGCAATGAAAAATTGTCCTTAAGTGGGGATAAAAATTAAAATCTGAGCTAGGTTTGGCATTTCCATTTATTCACTGGGTAACTCTAGGCAAGTTAATTTCCCTGAGCCTCAGATTCCCCTTCTATAAAATAAGAACAAAAATACATTCCTCAGTTCTGATCACAAGAAAAAAAATAATTTTGTAACTATGTGTGGTAACAGATGTAAACTAGACTTACTGTGGTGATCACTTTACAATATACACAAATATAGAATCATTATTCTGCTATATACCCACAACTAATATTATGTCAATTATACTTTAATAAAAAAACTTTTGTTTTTATAATTTTGAGGTATATTTATATACTGTGAGGTGCATATATATTAAGGGCACAGTTTGATAATTTTTGACAAATGTATACTAACCCCCAATCCAAGATACTAAATATTCTCATCATCCCAGAAAGTTAATGCATCTCTTTCCAGTCAACCCCACTCCACTGTTCTGATGTCTATCACCACAGATTAGTTTAAACTATCTTGAACAGTAGATTAAATATAATCACATTGTATGTAACCTTTTGTATCTTCTTTTGCATCTTTTCTTGCTCAACATGACTCATCCACATTTTGTCAGTAGTTTGCTCCCTGTTTTGATGAGTAGTGGTATATTATTCATTCAGTTTTCTAAATTGTTATATTATTGCTAATGTGTCCTTCAAAACTCTTTCCATTTAATGTATCTCCTGCGTGGTATTTTCTAGGCATATATTTTCTGCATATCTCCTTGGCAATGCTTGATATGAGAAAGTTAAGTGAACAATTTTAAGTCTAGTGTAATCATCTTAGGAAGGAGTGTCTCTCTCTACCTTAAGGAGAAACAGATAACCAGGCAATTCAGTGTGGCAGTCCTGAGTACAGTCTTCCAAAGAGATGATCTGGGTTCCCATTTCCGGTCCAGCACTGAACAGATGGGTGGTTTGGGACAGGTGAGTTACCCTCTCTGTGACTGTTTCCCGTTTGTAAAATGAAGATAATAATACCTTCCTAATAGGAATTTATGAGGACTAAATTATACTGTACATAAAATGTTTGGCACAATGGAAACTAATAATAGCCTCAAGCTTGACTATAATAAACATCTTCCTGCTTCACTTACACACTTTCGAATTTTGTAAATCATATAGTATAATTGAGTATATATTTTCAGAAATTTTTAAAATGAAGTTCATAATTATATCTAGGAAAGTCTAATTGTTAGATATTTACTTAAAATAAATGTTATTTCCTATGTAAAAAGTAAAGCCTCCTATCATTTATTCAGTGAAAATTATATACTGAGTGCCAACTCTGAGGGGCTCTTCAAAAAAGTTAAAGACACAGCCCTAGCTTGTAGGATGTTTGGTTTTGGTAAAAACATAACCACAAAAATAATTATAATACAAAGTATGGTCAATAATGATAATAATAACTAATACCTATTAATATTGTGTTAAGTCTTTGGAATTATACTATATGGTTCAAATCTCAGTCATATTATGCTGGGAAAGTTATTTAACCTTTTTCTGTGTTACTTCACTTGTAAAATAGTGATAATAACACCACTTACCTAGGAGTAAACCAGTCAATACATGTGAATACTTAGCACAGTATCAGCACATTAAAAATGCAATAAGTAGTAGTTAACATTTATTGAACATTCAGTTTTTGCCAAGCACTCTGTTAAATGCTTCATACACATAACTTCACATAATCTCCACAATGTTGTTTCTAATATTATGCCCATTTTACTGATAAGGAAACTGAGGAGCAGGGAGTTTAGGTAACCTGCCCAAGATAACATAGCTAGTAAATAACAAATGCCATAGGAAGGACATATCGATAAAATAGGGATGATGATAATAGTACTTACCTTAATGAGAATTAAACAAATTAATATTTGAAAAGCAGATTACAACAGAGCCTAGCGCAGAATAAGGTCTATTTAAGTGGATGCTAAATAAATACAAATTGCTATGGTGATTCACAGATGGCAATAAATAACCTCCATGCATGCAATGGAGACTAAGGAAGGCCTTGGAATGATGACACTTCAGCTGAATCCTAGAGAGAGAGGAGAGGGGAGGGGAGGACAGGAAAAAAAGAAAGAGACAGGAAGTGGAAGAAAGCTCAGAGTAGGGTATGCAAAAAGAAAAATGGGAGTAGTTAGATTTGATTAGGTTAAAAATCTCACCTTTCCGGTCAGGGTGTCCAAATTCTATCCCGTGGGCCCTATGAGGCTCAGGATGGCTATGAATTCGGCCCAACACAAAATCGCAAATTTAATCAAAACATTATATTTTTTTGTGATTACATGTCACAATGTATTTCATGTGTGGCCCAAGACACCCCTTGTTCTTCCAAGGTGGCCCAGAGACAACAAAAGTTTGGACACCCCTGCTCGACCAGCTATACAATATATCTCATCATTTTCCTTTCGTCCCCCTATAATCTGCTACCCTTACCCCTTCCTCATCTATTTTACAGTTTTTATGGAGTGTCTCAACATGCTGTTCTAGGAGCTAAAGATACACCAATGAACAAGACAGGCCAAATCCCACTTCCTGTTCTGCACTGTAATAATACTCCGAACTGGATTCCCGGCTTTTGGTCCGCCCTGCTCAGATCCATCCTCCACACTGCCATGAGAAGTACATACTGGTCCAGGTATTTTCCCGGTGTGTTCAGAATTAGTTTCATCCTCCCTAGCATTCTGTTCAAAACCTTCACTAATTATCCAGAAGACTTATCTCCCAGCTATTCACCTCCATGCACTCTGCACTTGGGCCAGAGCAAATCACTCAAAATCCTAGATACACACACTTACAAATAAGCACCTGCTGAAAGACATGGCTAGAACTCCATCACTGTTGCATCCCTGTACATTGAAACATCCCCCAGTCTGCCTGCCTCGGCTGTGAAAACCCTGGCATCGCCCCTCCAGCTCTCGAGCCTAAAAAGCAGTGAAGAAACGGACACTTCCCCCAGAGACCCGACTACCAAAGTACCCCACCACGCACAGGGGGCCGGTAGGGGAGGGGCTGCGCGCGGCCCGAGGCCGCCATCTTGCCGGGGCAGGCCGGAAGTAGCCCCGGAGCTCACGCAGGGCGGACTGAGGCTGCGCAGTGGCGGCCGCGGGAGTCGGGAACCGGCGGTGTTGCAGGCACCCTTTGGAGTTCTCGGGTGCCACCCGGCAGCCACACTGTGCCTTCGGTCATCTCTCTTAGCCCTCCTCCCGCCGCCCCAGCCGCTGCCAACCGCTCCACTGGGTTTGTGCAGCGGACCGAACATCCCTCGGTCCTTTCGGTGCTCCGCGCCTGCCTTCCCGAAAACTGTTGCAGAACCCTCGGAGCGGGGGTCTCTGCGTCCCTCAGGCAGAGGAGCAGGAGTGTGGCGGCTGTGACTGTGCGACCCCGACCACCTTGCAGAAAGCCCCGAGCCCCCACCAGCGGGAGAGCCCCACGGCGGACCTTGGCGCCAAGAGGGAGGAGGGGCCGCGGAGCCCGCCCTCACCTGGAGAGGCACGTGGGTCTCGGCGTTCAAAGCCTTGACCAGGTGCAGGGCCTGCCGCCCTCCGAATTAGACGGTGGCGGAATTGGTGCCGTATCACTTCCCATAGGTCGCTCCGAAATGGCGAAAAACATTATGGGAGACTTAAAGGATCTTTTCCCTGAGATCATCGCTAGGGCCGCAGAACATCTGTAGTATGCCTTTAGTTTTGAGCTTGAAACAGCTGGGCCACGAGCACCACACATACCCTAACCGACAAACTGAAACCTCCGAAGGAGAAGGATCTGGGAGCGGATAGCCCTAGACTGGGTCTCTTAATGATGATCTTGGGTCTCATCTGCATACAAGATAATAGAGCCAAGGAGGCACAGGTTTAGGAGGGGCTGAGTCGGTTGGGGGTGTGTCCCTCAAAGTATCACGACCTCTTCGAGCTCCCAAAAGGGCTTTTTAGGGAAGATTTCGTGCAGCAGTGACACCTCGGTTACAGGTGGTGCCTCACACCTATCCACCGGATTGTGAATTCCCTTGGGGTCCCCCAAGCAACCTGGAGACCAGCAAGATGAAAACCTGGAGTTCGTGGCCAAGTTCCATAAAAAAGGAATCCCAGCACTGGCCAGTGCAGTACTGTGAGGCCCTGGCAGAAGAAGCCAGTACGAGGGCTAGGGCTAGGGCCAGGGCTGGCATCGGGCCCTGGTGAGAGCCAAGGAAAAGGTGGTCAGTGAGAGGGTGGGGCGGTCCTGGGAGTGGAAGCTACTGTTTGATTCTTAAGTAGTGTAAGGTGAGAGGAGTGTTATTTCTATAAGAGTTGTATTTGTGTGACTAGAACTGAAGTTTTGTATCTTGCTAGATTTTGTGACATTTAATATATTACAAAATTAATGTTTAAATGGAAGTGGTCTACTTTTTGTCTTAAGATTTCGTTGTTGAGTTTTGCTGTTTCTGTAAAATGGTTTGAAACACCTTGTATTTTATTCTGTGATCTTAGACTATGCAGCATTGTAGTCCGGTACTTTAATAGTTTGAAGGAACTCTGCAGTATGATGATCTGGTACCATGAAACAAAAATAGCTGATTGGTGTCTAGTTTCCCAACACTTTTTGTCTGTTGCATAAAGAAAAAAGAATGACATATACCTCTGTTTGCTTAGCCATTATAGTGTCTAGAGAAAAATTAAAGTGCAATAAGAAGTATACACTAGTATACTAAATAAATTAAACATTTGCTGAGCATCACCTTTATTGTGGTGTACTATTTGGGGGATAGAATGTTGAATAAGATAAAGGGCCTCCTTTTCAGAACTGGACAGTAAGTAAATAAACCAGAAATTACAGTGCAGTGAATTGGAGGCTACAGAGGGACGCATAACCTAGCAAGAGTGATTGAGTGAGGCTTTAGTCAGTCCATCAATCTAAAGCCTCACTCAATGTGGGAAGGGGGTGGGGGGAAGGTGAGGTAGGGAAGGAAAAAAGGCAGAAGACTTCGGGGGTGGGAAATGGTATTCAAAATGACTTACGATCACAAATGTTCCTCAGGAACATGAGAAGAAGGCTTGATACATGGCAGATCTGGAAAACACTCTGCTTTTGCCAGTGCTCTTGTTCCAGGGCCATTATCACAGTGCACAAACAACAATGGCAACTATTAGCATTTTGGTCTTTTCCATCCCTTCTCTTACCTTTACACATTTCCCTCTTATACCAAAGCTCTCAGAGACCGAACACTAACAATTCTGGAATAGCATGTAGTGTGGGTGGGAAGGGTACATGTGGTATCCCCTACTACCAAGCAAATCCACTTCAAGATCTCTCCCCTGGTACCAGGAAGCCTAGTCCCCTCATCCATGTTTCTACCTGTCATTCCACCTATCACTTCCTATTTGGAAGAGACTTGGAAGGAATCCCTTACATTCTCGACTAGTCATGAAGGGTCATCTGCATAAGCAGGTCAGGACTCTGTAGTGCCTACCACCTTCACTCTAGGGATAAATCCTGCAGAATGGGTACATAGAATATCAGGGAACCTGGAGGAGTGGTAACCAAACCAGAGATGAGTGTTAGGTTAGTTGTGAAACTGTACAGCTGCCATAGTCAAAAGAACTGCTTTCTATTCTCTTTTATGACAGGGCTTTTTTTCCCCTAATTTTAGTTGTGTCCAAATAACATTTCTGTGTATGTTAAGGTTAACATGGAATAAAATACTTTGGGACACAGGGCCAGGGATCAGACTGCAACCAAAAGCTGTAAACATATGGGCAAAAAAAATCAACTGATGTTTAAAAACACGACTTCTGGGCAGTTTTATAATTCATTAAACAAGCAGAAATATAGAGTGCCTACTGTATGCCAAGGACTTTGCTGGGTTCCAAAGATTAAAGGGAGAAGACTGGCCTTTCCCTCGAGGAATGGTAACAATGATACTGTTTCTCATTTGTGTTTCTTGAAGCTGCTGAGAGGTCACCAGTGTGTGCACCTGAAAGTCAGATTACTTGGTCATTGCCTGTGGTCAGCAAAAGGGTACCAAGTCTAGACCCCAAGTCCCTGGCCCCCAATCCAATGTGTTTCATTCTAGCACATTGTTCCCCACGCCTGGCTTCCAATATGTTGTATGTGATTTTACTTGTCACAACTCCAAAAACAAGCAAGGCCTGTGTAATTATCTCCAGCTGCCACTGCAGTCCTTATGGGAGTGAGAAGGGGTAGAAATACTCCCTCCCCATTTTACCAGTGGCAGAGGTGACTGCTGAAGGTCAGAGGTGTACAACCTGGCAAAGACAGACCTAACAACAGTGCCATTTATTAAACATCCACAGGCCTAGGTCGTTTTTCTTCCTACCCTTCACAACTACATTGCAAAGTAAGTATTACCAAATACCTCCATTTTACAGATGTTAATGATGGCAATACTTGCCATTTATTCAGTACTTAAGATGAGCTAGCTTATATATACTTTACACATGTATTAATGATTTTAATAACAATCTTACAGGATAGATATTCGTTCGATTTTGCAGTAAGCAAACTGAGATTTGGCTAAGATATAAAGGTCTCACAGATAGTATATAACACAACAAGGATTGAAACTGAAATCTGACTGAGTCAAAAGCCTGCACTTTTTACTATTTTACATTTCCTTCATCTTGGGATTCCTTCCAGACTTGGGTCATCTGTCTCAGGACTTGTGTTCTTTCTTCAAAGGCCACCGTCTCTCTGGAGATACAAACAAGGACTGTGTAGCCAAGGTAATTATGTCAAGACGCTGGCCTGCAGGAGGGTAAAAAAGGGGGCTAAAATAAAGTTGGAGAGTTATCTGTGAACACCAGTCCCAGCTCTGCCTACTCTCTCCCCAGTGTTTGCAAAGTGCTCACTACACGTAGAATGTGTACTTTTGCTCAAACTCAGCATGTTTTGCTCCTACAGGCCATCTTGTCTCAGCTTTTACTCTGCTCTCTCTACTGAGCCTCAAATTAAGTCTTTCTTGCCACAGGACAATCAAATAACATCTGTGGACCTGCAAATATGATTTCCAGCCTGTTTTCAGGTGGTGGGGCTGGCAGAACACCTACCCTTGCCTCAGGATGAAAGACCTCCCCCATCACAGATGCCATCATCAGCTTCTCAGAAGTAGCCAAAGTGTGGCCTCTTGCCCATGTGTAGAACAGACCTTGGCCATGGTGAGGGCAAGAGATGAATTCTCCTGTTGTGCAGGGTCATTCACATGAGGGAGAAGGAAGACCCGGGTCTCCCATCTTCTCCCCTTTCAGCCACAAATAAAACTAGATCTTCCTGGTCCAGACACTGAGTGGGGAGAACAGGGCGTTGCTCTTGGGGGACTGGTGGCAGATGGATTGCTCCAAATTGTCTTTATTATATTACAACTAGAAAGCAAAAACAGTAAAGGAAATTCCCTAGAAAACTATGAATCATGTCTTGGACAATAGGAAGGTCTCAGTGCAGCCAGACTCTGCAGGGATCTTGACCCACAGCAGAGTCAGGACTCGGGACCCACTGGAACTTGGAGAATGAGTGTTTAGAAACAGGCTGAGCTTGACTACAGCCCCACCATCTAGCAGGCACTTGCTGCTCTGGAGGTGGCAGCTCATCTATAGCCCCTGCAAATCAGGCTCCAATTCCAGGCTCAATCACAGTTTCCACTAGATATAATTATGCTTCGTGCCCTGGTCATGGTGGCAATTGATGCTTCTGCAAATTATTCCTCAAATTGTGCAACCCAGCAGCGATGGCAACAATTACCTCCCAGCAGAAACACAGTGTACTGACTAAGGAGGTTAGCTACACTGAAAAGTGTCCTAATCAAGGTCTTTTAAAAGTCATGACTGTAATCTTTAACAAAGAATGCAACCTGAGAACTGAAACTCTAGGAAAGAGTTCAGTGAGTGATTGGGTGGTGGTCAACGACAGTCTACAGCCCATACCCCATCCTTCCAGCTGATGGCAGACCCTGCCACCCAGTTCCTGAGCCAGTCATGACTGGTAAGTACAGCAGCCAGTATGTATTAAGTCTCATGTGTCAGGCGTGGGGCTAAGAACGGTAACCACATTGTCTTATGCATCTGTCTTATCAGGCAGATTCTACATTTGCCAACATTATAATACTATAGGGCAACTACAGGGAAAGAACCATTCTGTTAACTCGTGACATAGCTAATGAGCAGCTGATCCAAAACGTGAACCTAAATCTGGGTTCTTGCTGGTGTTCCATCCTGATGGTCTTCAAAAGATTCTTAGGAAGCAACCAATCTTACTTTAGGAAAATGGGTGAGAGAGAAGGGAAAAAAAGACCTCTCGTGCTGATTTACACCATAACTTAGATGACTCAGGCTAGAGAGTAGAGGTAGTGAGAAGGGGAGAGGGGCCAGTTGGCTTTTCTGATTGGAGTGTCATGGGTCTTTTGTCACAGAAGGGACCTGAGTTGGAAGAGGAGCCCATTTTTGAGGAATGAGCCCTGTGAGCAGTAGCTCTGTGGTCTCTGAGGTGTTAGGAATCAGCACAAGGGAAGCAGCAGCCCCAGCCTTTGCTTCTTTAGGAGGCCTGCTGGGTGCTGAGCCCAATGAGAGAGAGCCTCATTAGCCCAACCACAGGGCAGGGCAGAGGCCTCAGGACGCAGGAGCTCCCAGCCCCTGAAGCAAACATTCCACTCTCTGCCCTGCAACAGCATGTGGCTTCAGCTCAGTTACCTAACCTCTGTGAGCTTCCGCTTCTGCATCTTTAAACAGAGACAGTGCTAGCTATCACGAAACGCTGTGAAGACCAAATGAGGGAATTACTAAGCATCTACCACAGTGTCTGGTTTGTAATAACTATTGTTGCTATATGATATACGAGGGGGACCACTCAAAAATGGAATTTAAGTATAAAAATGTGTGTATTTATTCTTACATGTTTAAACTTCAGTCACCTTCAAAGTGCTCTCCATTTGATGCAATTCACCTGTCAAGACATCTTTTCCACTGCTCAAACAGTTATTTTTTTTTCCCCTTTTTTTTTTACCCCCTACATGGGCAAAAGTTTATCTTTGAGGATGTTTTTATCCAGGGAAACAGAAAAAAAATGTCTCTGGGGGTGAGATCAGGTGAATAGGGAGGGTGGAACATGGGGGTCATGTCGTTTTTGGTCAAAACCTACTGAACACAGTGTGATGTGGACAGATGTGCTCGTGAATCACCCACCATGAAACAGGGAAACATGTGGAAAGAGTCTTCAAAAACAATTTCACTGAAGCGGAACACTACCTCTCAGAACAACGCCAGCTGATACACTGATACAGATGGGTTCCTAGAACGCTCACCTAGTGGGGAAGCCTGTCCTACAAGAGGCCTGCCCTCCAGAAGATAATTCCAGGTTTTGGGGGCACCCCTCCTCATACTCAT